CGAAAACCAAGGTTTGCTGCAGAAGAAATCCTGACTATAGGTAGGTGTTCTTTCCCTAGCTCAAGCAGGGGCCCAGCTCAGAGAGCTGTAATGTCCCAGCCCATGATTGATGAACACTGTGTTTCTGCAGCTTCCTTTCTGACTCTCAGTTGGGGTACACCAGTGGGATACATAGGGTATGTGAGGGCTTCCCCTGTCTCTAACCAAGCGTATGCCGGTGTGGACAGGGAGGGGCCGGCTGTGCTGCCTTTCTCCTGTCTTCCATTAAACTGAGGCCCCAGTTTTGAGTAAGGGCAGAGGAGGACTTGAGAGGAGCACATTTTTGACTAAATGAAATTTTCTGACTGCCTCATCTTAGAGATTTTTCTCTGCATCATAGATACAGAGATACCTTTGTCTTGGGTGTGTCCAGCCTGCAGCCCATAAGCCACATGGATCTGCACATAGCAAAGAATAACTATGAATGCAGCCCAATATAAAATTATAATTATAAGCTTACTTAAAGCAGGAGAGGTTTTGTGAATTTTTAAAAACCTTGACTACACAGTTCTTGAGTGAAGACTGTATTGTATTGTCAAGGCTGGTAGATGAACTGCCTGTCTTAGCTAGTGGTCCAGGAGGTGTGGGCTTGGGCGGGATGGTATCCTACTATCCCACCAAGGAGTTGGTACTGATTCTTAAAAAGAATGAAGTCTCAAAAGAAATTCCAGTACAAGCCCACAGTCTCTTCATTTCTTCTCACGACTACTTCCACTCTGCCTATGTAGTGAGAACTTAGAGAAAAGAAAACAAAAACGTTAATGATAGTCTGAGGGATGGAGTGGGGCTACAAAGAATGACAAGCAAAAGCTGTTGAGATGAAGAGTTCTTTGTAGAGTGACTACTGGGTAGTGATGGTAACAATGACAAAGTGGGAACAGACACGTTGGTGAGGTTGGGGGAATGTAGGCTGAGCCTGTACAAGCTCTGCTCAGAGGCTCAGCTGGCAGCTTAGGATTCCTGTATGGATTGGGGCTGTCAACAGCAATTTCTGTTCTGAAGTGCTGGTACTCTGACACCCCTTAGTCCCAGCATCCGCAGGCTTTGAGGAGAGTACATAGTATTGGAAGCTTAAAAACAAACAAACAAAACAAAACAAAAAACTGGTGTCGGTGGCAGCGCACGCCTTTAATCCCAGCGTTTGGGAGGCAGAGGCAGGTGGATCTCTGTGAGTTTGAGGCCAGCCTGATCTACAGAGCTAGTTCCAGGACAGCCAGTGCTACACAGAGAAACCCTATCTCAAAAAAGAAAGAAAGAAAGAAAAGAAAAGAAAAAATAAACTAGGTTTGCATCCTGGCTAGATCATTCACTGAACCTCTTTGAATGGTTCCATAAAATAGAGCAATCCCCATCTCACAACCCCTGGAGTGATTGTGAGATCTATACATACATGCCCAAGCATTTTGTGCACAAAGGCTTTTGTGAGCATTATTGTTATTCTTGGGGAAGCCCCACCTTGGAATTTGTCAAAGGATGCAACTGTGGCTTGGCTGCTTACAGGGGCTAGCAGTGTTGACAAAATGTCATTAGATTTTTGGCCTTGGCTAAAGCACTCCTATGTCCTGCTGCTCTAAGTGAACAACAACAACAACAAAAGGTACTTCAGAGTTAGGGAGCAAAGCAGAGCATGCTCATCTTGCATTTTCAAATCCTGGATGACTACAGCATCCTGTGTAAATAGCCATAGTGATGCTCAGAGATAATCCAGGCTATGCATGGAAGCAGGGAAAGTAGTTGACAGACTCTTCTGTCCCTTTTAACTTTGGGGTTAGGTTCGGGTCTACTATCTGAAACCTGTCAATCATCCAGAGAGAAAACCCACTTCTGAGAATGCTTAGTTCAGTCAGCAACCGTGATGTGTTTACTCCAGTAAAGCCACTGCTCATGCTCTGCAAGCACATCTCCTGTCTCCTGCAGAGACCGTCTCCTGCAGAGACTGTCCTGGAACCAAAGGCATCCTGTCTTCTAGCCTGGTAAGTTTAAAACAACAACAGGCCATGCACACCAAGCTCAGTGGCTGTAGACCTCTACGCAGTCCCAGGAGACTGGCCGTCAGGACACATAGGACACACCCCTCCCTGTCCTCCGTGCGCACTAGGTTTGAGAAGTTGCACAGCCTCAGCCACTCTGCTTGGGTGGTAATTCTCCACCCTTGATCTCTTTTCTCCATGCCCTTTCTGTGTCCTTCCTCCACCACCTCCCAGGAGAGTACCAATTCCCAAAACAAACATTGCATTGCATGTTGATAATGTAGTTTTGAAACATTGCTTGCTTGTAGCTGACCCTGTTGTTGGTGTGATTTTGGGGGGATCCAGTTGCTTGTTTTTAATGGTTGGAGAGGTGAGACTACTATAATTCCCACACCGCCTGAGAAAAGCTGTGCGGCTCCATTCTGAGTGCCCCTTCTGCACGTGTGTGTGTGTGTGTGTGTGTGTGTGTGTGTGTGTGTGTGTGTGTCCTCGTGGTTGTGCTCAGGCTGACAGGAAGGGCAAAGAGTAAAAAGGAAGCATGTCTTTCTTATTTTCCAGCATTGCTTCATCGATGCCCAACCCCCCGCGGTACAGGCAGTTCCCAAGTGGAAGGTGGGGGCAGAGGCCTCCAGCAAGGCCATCAATAACCAGGTGTGTAATGTGAAGCTCTCTGTATTTCATTTCTGCACCCAGGGCCAGCTCTGCAGGGTTGCTTACGGAGCGCTCTGTGTCTGGCACCTCTCTCCACCAGACCCAGGCGCCCAGGGCCCACCGACCTGCCCAGGAATGCACTGCATTGTTCTCCGCTGCTGTAATTTGGCTGCAGGAGCTAGGCTGAATGCCTCCCAGGGAGGAGAAACATACTCTCCCTGGCGGCCTCCCTTATCCCCAGCTAGCTTGGGCTCTGCCCTATGACCACTGAGAGCATTTAAATAAAAAGTTTAGAAAGGCGGGGGTGGGGGTGAAAAATCCTGATTATCTGTCTTCTATTAAGTCATGCAGAAACTTATGTCCTGAGTGGGTCTAAGAATTTGGCAAGGGGCTTGGTGGTTGGTGTTCTTGATAAGGATGTGAGAGAAAGGGGAAGAATAGTCTCCCGAAACAAAGAGGAAGAGAAATGAGGCTGAGAGTGTTCATAAGTTGATCTACAAAGCTTTTTGCAGCAGACCCTCAGGACGGTGTTTTCTCCTTTTAATCTGAAGTCCCTGATTTACATTTACATTTACTCTAATGAAGAGTGTGAATTAATATCATTATTTAGAGCTGAAACAGTAAAATTTGGTTCTTTTCTCTAGTGCTGGCTTCTGGGCCATGGCCAGCATTCTTACTTTCTGGTTTTTGTTTGAGACAGGGCTCTGTTCTTAGGCTAGCATGCAGTTCACTGTGTAACACAGCCTGATCACAATCACAGCAGTTATCCTGCATCAGCCTCCCAGAGGGTCAGGATTACAAGCGTGAGCCATCCTCCTGGCTCTTCTATTTAAAAGAAACTGGCTGCAGGCTGTGCAGCTGAGGTACTCCAGTCATGTGCCTTCCCCCAAGAGATCCTATTATCCCTAAAGGATAGAGGGAATATCTTTCGAGTTCACTTGGTATCCAAATAGCACTTACTGCAATGCACTGTACTAAATATTTATCAAAAGGTAGAAAAATGGCCGGGCGGTGGTGGCGCACGCCTTTAATCCCAGCACTCGGGAGGCAGAGCCAGGCGGATCTCTGTGAGTTCGAGGCCAGCCTGGGCTACCAAGTGAGTTCCAGGAAAAGGCGCAAAGCTACACAGAGAAACCCTGTCTCAAAAAACCAAAAAAAAAAAAAAAAAAAAAAAAGGTAGAAAAATGATGACCACCAAAGGGGAAGGAAAAGAGGGTAAGACACTGCTGATGGAGGGCCAGCTTCTACCTTAGGGACAGACGGGAAGGGGCCTTCAGAATAGAGGAGGGAGTAGCAGCAGAGCTATGTGGAGCCCTGGCACCAAATAAAGTTCTTGTTTTTTTGCTTGTTTCAAATAAATCAGTTTCTGTTTGTATAGTGCAAAATGAACGCCAGTTGTCTGAAGCCAATTGGAATGCAGAGACAGTTCTAAGGAAAAATTAATTGCTTGGCCATCATTCCTTCTTGGGGCCACACAGCTTCTGTAGCAGGGCTCAGATAGACATCTTTTCTCTCACATAAACACCTCACTTTACAAACTTCTCACTCTCTGGACAGCTGTTTCTCTCTTAACCATTTATAAGCGGTTGTGCGTCTTTATCAGCTAGAATTTGGAGTCCAGGGAGAAGCATGGAGTAATAGGAGATGTCACAGAGGTCTACCACTTCCTTCCATAAACTAGGAACTCCAAATCAAAGAGTAGGTGATACAGCACAGGTAGATTGAACTCAGGTTGACTTCCCATAGAAGACCTATGCCATCATTGATGTAGTAACTTGGATGGCTTCACCCCTGCTCCCAAAGCTTCCCTCCTTTTAAGAGCCTTTCTTCTTCCCCTCCCAGTCCCCCTCCCTAATCCCACCATGGGCTCATCAGTTATCCAGTTGACTCTACTCTGCAAGGAAGACATTCTCTCGGCCTGACTCACTCAGCCCCATTTCTCCACAGTCTTCCCCTCACCACAGACCACAAGGGCTCTGACTAGCTCATGTTTTGTGTTAATGGATGTGAAACCGGAGCAAATCCCCTCACCAAAAGAAAAACCACCCTAAACTCTCCCACACAGGTCTCAGCAGGTTACACAAATATTAGTCCTATCATCCAAATAAATCTGCCTCCATGGCCAGAGCCACCACCACCCCCAACCTCCTGCTGCCTGGGCAAAATGAAGTTGCTCCACAAACATCTGAGAGCCCGAGTGGATGAAGAGGAACCTGAGAAAAGAGAGAGGCCTCATATCCAGAATTCCCTGTGAAAGCTCCTTCATCTCCAGTCTCTTATCAAGACCAGACAGTCCTAAATTACAAGTTCCTAGAGAAGTTAGGATGTACTTGACCAGTCAGAGGTTTGATGAAGTATATCTGTTGGCTGGAGTTTAGGACACAGATAAATCTCAATTTCTGAGCAAGGCATGTACCTTCATTTTACAGATAAGAAAACAGGCCAGGAGAATTTAAAGACCCTTGCTGAAAATAAAAAAATACAGTGAGTGAGTAAATAGCTGGATTAAACCTAGGTCTGTTATAACTGCAGATTTCTATACTATTGCTGTTTACCAATAGGCAGAAGACGATCACTGTGTAGGTCATACAACAGTAGGCCATCAAGATTTCAAACCCCACGTCCTACCTTCTAGCTTACCATGCCTGCTGTCTTCAAAGACTCCACTACTGCATACCCTGGTTAGGCAATGGCTGGGGGCACAGAGGGAACCCTTCTGTTTAAGTCAGTCATGGAGTGGACAGTAGTCATCAGTAGCACTCGGAGAATCACAAAATAAAGATTTGCTGAGTAAATGGGGGAAGACTACTGTCTTCTAAGGTGTCTATCACTTTGGCTCCAGCACCAACTCTTTCTCTGTACAGCACCTTGCTTTTGCTCCTACTTCAATGCTGATGGGCCTCTCCTAAACAACTGCCAAAATGAGACATCTCTACCATCCTAGTACACACTGATCCTCGCCCAGCCCTTGAGATCAGGTGTGCTCACCCTCCCCCATGACTACCTGCCTTTCACTTAGTCTTTTCCAAACCCACCTAATGTCCAGAATAATTGGTGGGGGAAAGTCCCAAGACCTAGCCAGGCTTACTGTACTATTCTCTCACAGTTCTGTTCCGGGGCACTAGTGGTCTGTTAAGACTGAACCACTGCAAGCTCCCTCACTCTGCACAGGCAGCCAGTGAGCAGGCTGCTGGTGTCTGATGTAGGTGGAAAAGGAGACACAGAGAATGTGGAATTGTATAGTTATGTGATTTCCCCACTCACAAAACCACCAGTTTATAAGCTGCATGAGAGCATGAGATGGAGCCCTGTTCACCATGGCTAGCACATCTAGCTGTCTCGGGGTCTCAGCAGAATGCTATAGCCTAAGATTGTCTGCACAAACTGTCTCCAGTGAAGAGACAGGCAGTTACATCTCTGTCCTATCTGTCCTTGTTACAGTTGGATCAAAAAGGAAGCTACCTCCAGATTCCCTTTCTGTTGCATACCCAAAGAGTATCAGAAATCAGTGCAAGCAAAGGGGAAAATGAGCCTTGACTTTAGTGCAACCCAAATCACTCTGAAGACAGACTCCTACCTCTTCTACTCTCCCTTCAAACCTCCAGTTGGAACATCAGGGAGCCACTCAGTCTCATATCCATCCCCTATCAACTCCTTCCTAGGGCTAAGGAACCAGCCAGGACACTGGGGTCCCTCTGGATCACTCTCCAAGTCCATAACAGAAGCTGTAGCCACCCAGGACTGAGGGTGGAGGAAGGTGTGCATGCAAGGATCTTGTGCTTTTGAGTTGGAGGCTTGAAGTGGAGGGATGAATGAGGTATCTGTGTATTCAGGTCTGGTCCAGCCACTCTGCCTTCTTAGGGGCCTTGCAAGTGTGCACATCCACAGTGTTTCTGCACTCTTTGCACCGCACAGCACAACACCAGTGGAATTTGCACTCACACTGGGTGACACGGGTGACTCGAGTTGTGTCGTACCCCCGGCCACAGCACATGATTTCACAACCGTCCGTTCCTTTAGATGTCTTGCTGCAGACGCGGCCTGCGGTACCTAGGGAACCTGAGTTGAGGAAGAGAGGTGAAAACCACGTTACTTTCGTTTTAGCCACTCTGGGTACCCTTATACTCTTTTAAGAAGCCATAAAGAGTCTCTTTTTCTGAAAATATAACCACTAACCAAAGTGATCATTCATTGCCCTCTGGCCCAGATTCATTTGTTTCCACCACTAAAGCTCCCCAGAGGTTGCCGATTTCACCTGCAGCCCCTTTCTGCCATGTCCTCTTCAGAATCTAACTGGAAAATGTAAGAACTGTAAGTCTGGGTGAGTTTCTCTAATTTGTGGGGGTTGTGATGTCATATTATCTGGATTTAAATTCTAGCTGTGCCACTTCAGAGCTGTATTTATTTAGCAAGTTAAAGAATGTGTCTGGGCCTCAGTTTCCATATATGAGAGTGTGTATAAAATAACACCTAGCAGGTATGGTAGCACGTGCCTATAACACCATCATGCAAAATATTGAGACAGGGAAGTCACTTTAGTTTTAGGCTAGCCTGGGATATGTAGTGAGTTTGAGGACACATTGAAATGGATAGCAAGATCCTGTCTCAGGGAAACAAAACTACTCAACATCTAATGGAATAGATTATTATGCTGTGTTTATCATTGCTGTCCAACAGAGGTGGCATGACTGGCTGGAGGCATATCTCTAGGGAGTTCCTGTGTTATACCCCTTTTAGGAGGATAGCTTTCTCATTGCACAGCAAATGCTCAGGACTTCATTCCAATAGATGTCAGCACAAAAGATCCTGTCAATCCTTTCCCCAGTAACAGGGGCACAGAAATGGAAAAGTGATTGGTCTGAGACGTCAAGAAAAAAATGGATCAACTAACTTCAACAGCAATAGTCTCCATAATCCACAAGGATATGGGGAGAAAATGCAGAACTTTTATCTTTGTTTTTTAGCTTATTGGTTTAAAATCTCTGCGTTTAGGGCTAATAGTGGTAAGTACTTGCCTAGCATTTGCAAGACCCTGGATTGGATCCATGGCACTATAGCAATGACGATGACAGCAACAGATACAGAGAGAGCATGCATATCTCATAATATACACAGTACACCAACAGAAACAGAGAGAGCATGCATATCTCATAATATACACAGTACACCAACAGAAACAGAGAGCATGCATATCTTATACACAGTACACCAACAGATACAGAGAGCATGCATATCTTATAATAAACACAGTACACCAACAGAAACAGAGAGCATGCATATCTCATAATATACACAGTACACCAACAGAAACAGAGAGCATGCATATCTTATACACAGTACACCAACAGATACAGAGAGCATGCATATCTTATAATAAACACAGTACAGCAACAGATACAGAGAGCATGCATATCTTATACACAGTACACCAACAGAAACAGCATGCATATCTTATAATATACACAGTACAGCAACAGATACAAAGAGAACATGCATATCTTATAATATACACAGTACACCAACAGAAACAGAGAGCATGCATATCTTATAATATACACAGTACAGCAACAGAAACAGATAGAGCATGCATATCTTATAATATATACAGTACACCAACAGGAGTGGGACATCTAGGAGGTAGATGCTCAATCTTTCTTTTTGAATATATATATGGAAGTTATGGGCATGCACGGGCCACAGCATGCATGCAGAAGTCAGAACAGCTTGTGGGGCTGGTTCTCTCCTTCTACATTATGGCTCCTGGGGCGTCAAACTCAGGTTAACAGTTTGCAGAAGCGCCTTCACCTCCTGAGCCATCTTTCCAGCCCTCAGTTTTACTTTTTAAGATTTATTTTATTTATTTATGTGTGTGTATGCATCTTTGTATGTATGTGTATGCACACTTGTGTGTGGATGCCCTCATAGGCCAGAGGAAGGCATCAGTCCCCAGGAGCTGGAGTTACAGGCAGTTCTGAGCAGCCTAATGTGAGTTCTGGGAACTGAACTCAGGTCCTGTGGAAGAACAGCAAGCACTCTTAACCACTGAGTCATCTCTCCAGCCCCCTCCATTTTTTTTAACAACAGTAATAATTAATCTAAAATGTTAGCAAACTACTGCTCTAGAATGTGGGATGACTAGGTCTACTACGTACATCATTCTAACTCCAAGGCTGGTCTTAAACACCAAAACCCTCTTCTACAGTCTGGAGCTATGCTGTCCAGTAGAGTAGCTACTAACAGTGTGTGCTCTCTTAGATTCAGTGAATTAAAATGAGCTAAACTAAAAAGGCTCAGTTTTGAATTGGACCAACGCTGTAGTAGTCCATCACACTTGCTCATGGTTTTAGTCTCTGTAGTTTGTTACCCAACATCAACTGTAGTTCCAATAGTGTTAAATGGAAAATCCAAAGATAAATGATTAAGACTTGTAAATGTTTTATCACACTATGTTATTAAAATTGACCTATTTGGGACTCAGTGGTAGAGCCCTTGCCCAGCATATTGCAAGGCCCTGGTTAGATCAACAGCACTGCTAGAAAAATGGACCTACTATCTTCTTATTTGTTCTTGCCATTCATCATGTGCCATGCCTAACTTACAAATTAAACCTCACCACAGGTATATATGTCTAAGAGAAGCATATTACAAAGGTTTAGTAGTACCTGCACTTTCAGGCATCCCCTGATTTTGGAACACATCCACCATAGATAAGAGGGGACTTATGTAATTCACATGCTCAATGAGGAGACAGCAGCAATGGAGATTCAATCACTGCAGCAAGTTTAGTTGGATAGTACTGCCTGGAGGGAATACCTGGTTCCATACTCCTGGGCTGGCTTATACCGTTTGGATTATATCGGTTTATGGGACTTAATTTTATGCCTCTGAGAAAAATTAATATGCATATGACTCGTCCTCCCTCCTAACTCCAAAGATCTGTCTCTAAAGGTACATTTGAGTGTGAAACAGATTACACTTCAGGTGCTGTGGAATTATTCCCAGGCATCCAGAGATTAACCCTCCGAATTAGACCACATGGAAAAACTGACGCATGATAGTAAATCACTAGGAGAGTCCAGAGGACCTCCCCAACGCTTCCCACTTCTAGCACTCTAGAAAGTGCATCTACACCTTCCATTGTCCTGGGGAACACCACCCATCTCTGGGCTGAAGCGCTCTGAGCCACTTGACTCTAGGCATGATAAGAGTGAAAACAAACAGAATTGAAGCCAGCCATGGTGTGGAGCTCCACTCTAGCAAATCTTGACGAGTGAATCTCCAGCAAAGAGCCTAGGAGCCCAGCAACAGGGACCAGAGGAGAAGCAGCTCCAGCGAGCCGCACATTGTCCCTGGTTTAACTTATCTGGACCAGAGATGATGAGCCACAGTGGGAGCTTCTATCCTCTCTAATCACTGCAGTGTTCCCAAGACCCCCTTCCCCAGCACCACACATATACAGAACTGACTGAAAAACGGCCATTTTCTGCTTGTTCTCAAGCATTTGCTGCTCAGGAGCCTTTGCAGAGATCACCTCCTGTCTCCCTCACGCCTTTTGGAGTCTGCAGTGGCAACAAATCAAGAAGCAGATTGATTCCCCGTGTTCAAACAAACCTCCTTGATTCCTCTGGCGTCTTTCCTGTTTCTTTCTTTCTTTTTTTCCCTTTCTTTGTTTCTTTCTTTCTTTGTTTCTTTCCTTCCTTCTTTCTTTCTTTCTTTCTGTTTGTTTGTTTGCTGTTGTTTGTTTGTTTTTGAGACAGGGTTTCTCTGTATCCCTGGCTATTCTGGAACTTGATCTGTAGACCAGGCTGGCCTCAAACTCAGAGATCCACCTGCCTCTGCCTCCCGAGTACTGGAGTTAAAGGCGTGCACCATCACTGCCTGGCTAGACATCTTTCTTTGTAGTTACATTTGCTTTTGCTTGCTTGCTTTCTTTCTTTCTTTCTTTCTTTCTTTCTTTCTTTCTTTCTTTCTTTCTTTCTTTCTTTCTTTCTTTCTTTCTTTTTCTGGTAGTAGAGGGTGTCAAACCCAGGGCCTTGTACATACTAAGCACATGCTATATCAGCTGAGCTCTATCCCCAGCTCCATCTTATTTTTTTAGCTAGACTGTTAAAAGTCAAAGGCTTAGTGCTACATCTGATGCTTCTGTGTAGCTCGCAGCTTGCTCAGAACTGAAAACAGGTGGCTCATTTAAATGTTCTCTGAGTAGTACCTACTGTATCCCAGACACTGGGGATATAGTAGAGTGTCATATGACCTACTTGTGCAACCTTGGCCTGGCAGCCTGAGGCACAAACCACCTATCTCAAGACCAGATTTTCATGTAAGGAGGCAACTGACTCCTTTCCTTTCCTTAACTCCTACAAACTGGACAGATCTGGATTAAGCAGAAGTGCTTGCACTAATAACCAAGTCCCATGTCACTTTCTGCCTGCTTTTCCTCACCTGCAGCCTTGTCCAAGACACAGTAGTCAGGGGAGTTGTCAAAGTAGACAAGATCAGTCCGGGTGGCATGGCGATAGCCCTGGCGGGCTGCTGTGAAATTGGCACCATCCTGGGTGGCAGTCACCTGCACAGCTCCATCATACCGCCGCCTCAGGTAGTCACCTGTGCGTCGGAAGTCTGAGAGTGCCCTCCAGCAGGTACGTAGAGTACAGGAACCACTCACACCATGACACTTACATTCCAGCTTTAAAAATCGCCGCACAGCCTAGGGGAGGGAGGGAGCAGGTCAGGACACTGCTTAGTCACCCTGGGGTCAAAAGCAGGAGTGCTCTGAGCTCTGCTGGTCCAGGCCTGCTGGTTGAGCCCTTGGTGGTTCTCTGCCAGATCCCACCGATTCTTCTGACCACGTCAGAGAACCTCTTCCAGGACATCTTCCTGGACCAACAGTGTTTTGCTCTTCATGACTGCCTGCTGGATTGCCAAGCCCCAGGAGCAAGTCTACTCCTGGTTATAGCCTACACATCCTTTTAGAGAGCCAAGTGGCATGCCTTTTGCTTTTATAGCATGTCAGTTCTCAGCACAGTATAGAACAGATGCTCAAATTCCAGTGAATAGCCTACAGCAATACCTGAAGGTCTTTATGAAGGGAGCTTTTCCTCTTTAAAAAAAAAAAAAAAAAAAAAAAAAGCTACTTTGGGGCCAGTGATACTGATATCAAGGAAAGGCACTTGCCATGCTGTCCTGGCAACCTGAGTTTGATCCCCAGGACCCACATGTAAGTGGAAGGTGAGAGCCAGTTCCACAAAGTTGTCCTCTGACCTCCACACATGCACCGTGCTGTTCATGCCCACCCACATACATCATGCATACACACACAACAATAAATCAATTAAAATAAAAAATTAAAAGCTACTTTGGGGTTTGGGAGATGGCTCAGCATGTAAGAACGCTTACTGTCCCTATAAGAACCTGGGTTTAAATCTGTACAACCCATATAAAAAGCCAGGCATGGTAGCACATGGGCTACCTGTAATCCCAGTGATGGGGGCTGGGGTACAGAAACAGGAGGATTGGAGGGAGGAAGATTGCTGGGACTTGAGTTCCAGGTTCAGTGAGAGACCCTGTCTCAAGGGAATAAGTTGGAAAGTGACAGAGCAGGACATCTGACATCCTCCTCTGGTCTCTGTGAGAAAGCCCAGACCTGTACATCCACGTATACACATATGAACGTACAATCATATACAAATCAAATTTTAAAAATTTAGAATGTATTTTTTAGTTCAGCATGGTGGCACACACATATAATCCAGCACTCAGGAGGTTGAGACGGGAGCTAGTGCCGCAAATTTGAGATCAGCCTAGGCTATAGGCAGAGTGAGACCCTGTCTCAAACAAAACAAAACAAGGTGGAGCATGGTGTTACACACGGTTAATCCCAGCACTAAGGAGGCAGAGGCAGATGGATCTGTGTGAGTTCAAGGCCAACCTGGTCTATATATGGAGTTCCAGGCCAGCCAGGGCTACCTAGACCTTGTCTCAAAAAACAAACAACAAACAACAAAAAACCACCTGCCCCCCCAAAAAAAAAACAAAAGAAAAAAGGAAGGAAACAGGGAAAGGGAAGCAGGAGGGAGAGGAGGGATGAGAGGGGAAGAGAAGAAAGAAAGTTACTTTCCTGTCTGATGAGAACCTGGTTGAACCTATGCATTCCCAGGCTCCCTTGCATTCTGTGGCGGAATGTTAGGGATTTTGGAAGTGATCCAGAAGCCATCAACTCTCCCACCTCCGCTTTCAGCCTGTGGTCACACTAGCTGGTTTACACCAGAGAATGTGAATGTACACACCCAGATGTGAGTACTGACCGTGCGACCACAGCGGTTGTTGTGTAAGTTCATGAGGGCCCGGGCGTCCTTAAGCCTCTTCTCTTTGGCATCCACGAAAGCCTTGGCAAAGCGGACACCGTAGTGGATGTTGTCACTGCAGCCACCCCAGTCAAAGTCCCCTCGTTGGTCATGGTGCCGACCTCGGGTATATGGGTCACAGCTGCACACACTCAGTTCCCCCTGGCTGCAGGCCCGAGTGATGGCATGGACCACTCCTGCTGATGAGATGGCATATACGAATGCTGCCTCCCGGCTACCTACACAGAGAGAGGCAGACATTACAGGAACGGTCCATGTCTTACACTCCACCACCACCCCCCCCACACACACACACATTTCTGGGTGTTTTCCACAGTGTCTTACTCAGTGGTCCAGGCCTGGAACTTGTTATGTAACCTAGCTTTGAACTTGAGATTTTCCTGTCTCAGCCTCCCTAGTGCTAGGATTGCAGGGACCGGCCACATGCCCAACTCTGTCCATCTCCTTCTTCAATCCACACAATTCCAGAAGCTTCCTTAGCTTTTCTAGAGCCTACTCCACCTGTCAAGGTGTCCTTGCCCTCTAAGAGCATTTCTCAGAGAAGCCAGCCTCGTCTGCTGGCTCTCCCTATGCCACTCATTTGCACATCTGACCTCTTTGGGCTGACCTCTACTCAGTTATTCTCTCTCTCTCTCTCTCTCTCTCTCTCTCTCTCTCTCACACACACACACACACACACACACACACACACACACACACACACACACACACACCACCCCCCACCCCCACACACAGTTCTGATGCAGTGCCACCTGCCGTGGTCAACATTCCAGGGTTTTCAGGCCTCCTCTGCTGGACAGTTCCCCTGCAATGTCGACCCCTGCCCCGGGGGTCAGCCTGTTCAGAGAAACATACTAACTTTAGCCTGTTCGGTCCTCTCCTTGCCCGTGGGGACGAATGTTCATCACCCCCAGTTCTCCTTCACCTTCAGAGTTCTGTCTCATCCTTTTCTCCTCTTTTCTGTCTCTCTCTGCTGAACTCTTGCTGAACTGGAGGGAAGCACTAGCTCTTGGAATATTTACACACCACCTTTCTGTTTATCTCTTGTTCCCATTACTATAACGTTGGGATTGCTAGGGTGACTGGGTGACGATAGTGACCGTGGTGGTAAGAAGCAGAGGACTTGGTCCTCGTCCTTAGTTGTATAGTACATGGACGCCTGCCTGACTGGGATATGGGGAGGCCAGAGAATACTTACCCTGACCCACCATCTCAAAGCACTTAGGTTGAGGGGGGCCCTGGCTTACAAATCTAGGGTAATGAGCAGCTGTTCCTGTTTCCCAGGTTTGCCCACAATTGTTTCTTAGATTATGAGGTAGTGTGTGGAAAACGAAGGGCATCATGCCTACCCTTCTAACTCACCACCCCAAGCAAAGGAAGGGAAGGGGGTGGGAATCGTGGAGGAGGACCCTACTTCGGAGCATGACGCGGCCAAAGACAGTGTGGTCCCGGTCCAGTGTGGTGCAGTTCCAGCGGTGATGGCGGAACTGGTGCTGGCACTCTCGGATCCACTCCCGGGCGCCTTCACCCACTGAACGCATGATGTCTGGGTAGCGCTGGCACAGCTGCCGCTGCCGGCTCACCAAACCAGGGATGTTGTCACAGATCACCCGGGCTCCTAGTGCCCCTATGTACCTGTGAAGTGGAGATGGCTTTGTCACAGCGTTCCAAAAGGAGGCAGGCATCAGCCAAGGGATAAAGGGGGTTAAAGAGATTCCTTCCAACCCCAAGACATTCTCTGAGGCTGACAGGTAGAACCACTACCCACAATCTCTGAAAAAAAGCTACACAGTTGCAGAAAGAGTAACTGAGTGGTCTCCTATCCTTACCAGTTCGCTAGCTAAAGGCCAAAGTAACACACACTTCAAGAACACAGCCAGGCATGTGTCATACACAGAAGCTGTGGCCATGTCATACAAACCCACTGCCTGTTTATTTAATAAACATTAAGATCCTCACAGAAAAATAACAAAAATGAGAATCTGAGACAACACTCTTACACGCACATGTAAGAGGCACGAATCGAGTGACTGGTCTATGAAGATAGCTTGGCCACAGGATGAAGAGAAGAGGGGCTGGAAAAGACATGATGGGTAGTTCTGAGTAATGTTTACAGCTTTGGACCATGCGGCTAAAAAAGTCCTCACTTCCATCCAATCCCAAGGCTATAGAACAAGACCCCATTTTTTACCCTCCTCCCCATTCCCTTTACTTTTCATAACCAATGAAGCTTTTAAAATAACTTTCCCCAACCTATAAAGCACAATGTCCAGGAAGGACCTTCATGGACAAAGAGCTGTTTACAGCAGGAAGCCTGAACAGGACAAAGCAGTAAGAGTTCAGTGGGCAGGATGGCACACACCTTTAATCCCAGCACTCAGGAGACAGAGATGGGCAGATCTTGCTGAGTTCCAGGGCAGCCTAATCTACATAGAGTTCTAGACCAGCCAAGGCTACATAGTGAGAACCTATCTCTTTAAATAAATAAACAAACAAACAAATAATGTGGTAGAATCTCTAGTCTGAATAATTTACAAGGTCAAGCGAGATGGCCACTGAAGAGTTGATGGACTGTCAGCATCATTCAAAACTGCTCAAGGCAATATGACCTTTCAAACAATCTTACCCCTGGGCTCTACCTCTAGAGATTCTGGAGAGAAAACAGTATATCACCCTTTCTCCCCAAGAAGTCCCCCAAAGAGATGAGACTCATTCAGGCCCTTCTGGCAGCTCAGCTTCTCTCCCTCTCTGTCCCACCCCATTCTGGTGAACCTTCCACACAGCACTTCCTTTGGTCTTTGCAGCGCCTTCTAGTCTCTTGTGCTGACACTGAAATGGGATTCCACTCTCTTTCCTGCAGGGAACAGGTGGGAGCTGTAGTGATTGATCAGTTGCTACTGCAAACAGAAAACCTTTGGTCCGAACTACGAATGAGCCAGTGGTTTGGGAATGACCCCAAAGTGGGCCTAGAAGTGAGTGAGGAGAAGAGAAGGCAGCCCACAGGGGAAGGGCAAGCCAACCATCCCTGAGCCCTACCCCCACCATACATCCCCACAGCCAGCCGTCACCCACAGACGAGATCACCACTAGTGACAGGAACTCAGGCAAATACAAGGGGGGTTGACGCTTGCTTCTTCGGGAACTCAGCAGGGCTGATGAGCCCCATCTGTCTAGAGGGAAGGGCAAGAGGGCTGTCCCTCCAAGAACAAATCCCATGGAATCAGCATCCCCAGCACTGTCCATCAGGGCAGCAGCTTCCAGGAACAAACAAAATAAACACCCCAGGCTGGGCCAGGCCGGAAAGGCTTGCCTGACGCACAGCTTTGAGTTCCACCCACTGCCCTGGTGCTTTGTCTGGAGGATTGAAACCATCAGAGTTGGAGCTCAGCCCTGACTCACCACCATGCTGCTTGCCCAGCTCGGCCCCAGATCACTGATCTAGGCAATGGGTGTTTGTTTTTTTATCTGGGGCTTGGAGGAAGGAGGTTGGATGGGAATGGGAGACCAATAATCCAGCCCTCATAGACAGTCTGGAGTGGGGCAAGCCAAACTCTGGCAAAAGGGCCTTCCTGTGGTCTGACTTTAATCCATTCTGCTGTAGCCCACATTGATCCTTCATATTACATCCTCAATGAGCATGGGAACATCTGTTCAGTAGCTAAGATGGGAGGATAATTAGGCTTTCCTACTACCCTGCCTACTGCCTAAGTAACTGCTTCAAGACCCTGCGTGGGGCTTGCCTGCTGTCTGGTTTTTGGATCCTTGTAGGCCAGTGTGGGAACCACCAATAATACCGAGCCTGAAGCTGAACCCATGTCCCGCAGCTCCACACATGCTTGCACAATGCCTCCACGCGCCAGGCACTGAGCTTAGCTGTTAGGGGCACAAAGACTTCACGGTATCCCTCAGCTTATTGTCTGGGGGAGGACGCCTCAGTTCTGACGTCCTGTTTTCCCTTTCAGAAATTAATTCTTCACTTCCTTCCCAGCCTCTGCACCAGAGTGCTCTCCTCGCCTGCTTTTGACCAATTCACATCCTTTCCCTTGACAGAATCACTGAGACCCTACTCTAGCCCCTTGTTTCTTGGGATTTGTAAGTGCCTGGACTCTGCCTCCAGGTCTACTGAACCCCAATCTGCATGTCAGTATCCCCCAGTGCTAAGAAAAGACTGCTGTGTCATAGGTACTCGGTAGCTATTGAATAAACACCTGCTTGCTCTGATTATCCCCGGCTTCCCGCTCCCCCTAGGTTGCCACCAACTCCAGTTCAGTTAGTTTGATTCCTTGTAACACTACCTATACTTTTTCAGACATTCCATGTCTCTGTCCGTTTAATGGAGCCAGGGATCTCCACCCCCTCCTTTCATGTCTATCCACTGGTGTGTTAGAACTTAGCTGGGAGTGGTGATTCATAACTTCAGTCTCAGCACTCAGAAGGCAGAGGCAGGCAGATCTCTGTGAGTTTGAAGCCAGCCTGGTCTGTATAGCGTTCCAGGGCAGTCAAGGATATATAGCAGGTCGCTGTCTCAAAAACAGCAACAGTAAACCACCAAGATGATGCCACAGGATGAGGGGCAGGGAAACCCCACTCTGTGAAGGGACACTTGGGTGGAAACCAGGATGAGGGAAGCCATCTGACTTCAAACTCAAGGGGCTTTTGTGGTTGGTTGTTTTGTTTTTTTTCAGACCGAGTCTTACTATACATCTAAGGATGGCCTCCAAGTTTTGATTCCCCTGCCTCAGCCTCCTGAGTAGTAGTATTACAGGAGTGTGCCATCATACCCAGCCAAAATTCATTTTTATTCTAGAAGCAAGAGAGGCACACAATATTTGATTAGAAATAAAACCATATAACTCCAAAATTGGTATAAATTTGAGCAATTTTTTTCTTATTTTTGAGATAGGGTCTCACTTTGTAGCCCTGGCGGACCTAAAACTTGCTATAAAGATCAGACAGGCCTGGAACTCACAGAGATCCGCCTGGCTCTGCCTCTCAAGTGCTGGGATTAAAGGCGTGCACCACCGCACCCAGCAAGGTTGTTTTGTTTTCCCTTCCTCTGCTATCCGTCAGTCTCTTCGTTGGTGAAATGGGGATTATAACAGTACCTACCGCAGGCTTATCCTGGAGATCAGAGATGATGCTCAACAAGGTGGTTGGCCATGGAGCCTGCAACTCAGTAAAGATTCAGTACAGGGTGTGTGTGTGTGTGTGTGTGTTTACAGTAACAGTAGTACTAATATGACCCTGCTCTGTGATCTCTCTTTATGAGCCCAAGAACATGCCCAGCTCTTGTGCATCTCCACATATCCACATTTCTTGTCAAAGACTAAGAAGAAACCATTTGTGTCTTCTTCAAGTTAAGGAAAGAGACAGAGGAGTTACTAGAGAGGAAGGGGAAGAATCCTAGGCTGTGAAGATCATAGGGATGGCCTTCTGCTCCAAAGTAGAACACAGACACTCTGAGTCAATAGACACCCATCTCCTCCAGGGATTGTACACACTACTAGCCTTGCTGGGCTTGAGATAATCTTGGGGGCCAGACCTGCCTTCAGAATTCAGGTTTCCTCCTTCTACAAGTGGTGACCACTGAGACAGACAGACACCTGTGACTGTAGCTGTGACAAGGTGAGGGCAAGGAGATGGAAATGAGCTCTGTACCCACATTCATTCTGGTCCTGATACTGTCTTCACGGACATAAGAACCACTCAGCCCCTCTGTCACCTGCCTCCCTACCTAGCTCTTCCATCTAGTAGCTTCTGCGACATCTTTAATCTGAACCTCTAGGAGGAAAGGAGAAAGAAAAAGAGACAGGGAGTGGAAGTCAAGGGTGAAAATGGGGAGTAGAAGAGCTGCAGGTGAGTCTTTAGGAACCACTACCAGGATGTGGAGATGTCCAGAGTGCCACTTCCTCATCTAAGCATCCATAGGTCACCAAGACTGTCTCAGACTGCTGCAAAGCAATCAAGTGTTTCAAAAAGCCAGTTACCATGTGAGCGAGATAAAGGTGGGCACCGGGCCCTTCGTGCTCCCATGCTGCCTCCACAGGGACCCTCAGCCAAACTGTGTCGGAAAGGTAAAGGGGGCTTGGGATCTCGCTCTGGTCATTGAAAGGCTCCCCCTCCTTCTTCCTTCTCTTTCCCTTTCTAAAGGAATGTTTCAAGCCAGATGTAAGATACAGGCCTCTCTGCTTCCCCATCCGAACCCCCCTCCTTGCCTTCCCCAACACTGCAGAGATAAAAAAGATCCAAAAGAAAGATTTTTCTTTAACAGGAAAACAGGGGTGGGGGTGGGGATGGAGAGAGCAGCATCTTGAAATGATAGGAATCTGCAGCCCGAGCTGGCTTGCCCCTCAGCCCGCTACCCCTCACCCCTCCAGCCCAGATTCCTAGTCAAGAGGAGAAAAGCCACAGGGGTGCAAGAGAAGAGCCCTCGCTCTGGGGGAGGGGGGGTGGGGGTGGAGGTGGGGGGGCTTGCTTCAGGGAAGGAGCAGAGCAAGGGGGAAACGGGGTGCTGCGTGTTAGAGAGGGGCACTAGCTCAGCCCCAGAAGCCAGTTTGACTGGAAGGGGGTGAGGAGAAAAGACAGGGGACCGAAACGTTTTGCAGTTCAATCCTACCCGCTTCCTTTGCCCTTTCTGGAAGGAGGGTGCCACTGCAGGGTTGGAGGAGTCCTGGGGCTGGGTAGGGGTTCTACCAAGGACCCAGCAGGCGGCCAGCTTTTGCCTCATCTGCCTTTTGGAAGTGTCTGAAGACTAAGGCCTACAAGAGATCTGAAGAGAGGGTCTCAAAAGTCTTGAGACTCTCTGGAAGCTGCTGGGGCTTCTAGGGGAGAGGTGGGAGGTTAGGTCATCTGGGGCAGGAAGGCAAAAAGGGACATCAGTGTTCAAAATTACACCCTCAAAGCTGAGGCTGATGACAAATGCCTGGGTTATGCAACCCCAAGTGTTTAATTGGTTTCAATTGTGGGAATTAAGGGGAAGGGAGTAGTTTGTGCCTCAATTTCACTTCTAAGTCTTGCTGTGGATACTACTACCTCATTGTGTGGCCTAGACTAGCAGAGGAATGTGGGTCCCAGCCAGCTGCCCCCTACTCCACGGCCCCTGGGGAGACCTTTGGTGGTGGAAGGCTTTTTGAAGGCCACAGCTGTAGACTGTGCGGAACAGCCACTGCAGGATGTGGAGAGGCTACTGGTTCCTCGAACCAACCCTGAGGGAGAATCGGACAGTAGCTTCTGCGCTGCGGGCTTGAGGTAGAAACACAGGGGGCACAGTGTAGCAGTCGAGGGGACTTCAACCACCAGCTAGCTACCTGCTCCAGATGCTCAGCGCTCTGCTCTTGTCTCCAGCGCCTCATTCTCTCCAACCCCTCACCAGCCACCGGAGACTTCTGGGACTGTCCCGCCGGGATCATCTCCAGTACCACCCAGGCAACAGCCTGGTGCTTGAGCAGCGGGTGCCTGGAGCAGTTAAGCACACTCGTTCCCTGCGCCCAACCACCCTGGGAGCCACACTCACCACCAAGATGTGTCTACACGGGCCGGCAGAGTCAGCAGCAGCAGCAGCAACAGGCAGGCAAGACCCAGGCGGGCAGAAGCCGGGGACACGTCGGGGGTCGCGGGTCTGGGTGCGGGGACCAGGATGCGGGCACGCCGAGGGGCGAGCTGCGCGGCTTCCTCCGCACCCCGCGGCCTCAGCATAGCTCCGCGCAGACTCCCGCCGCGCAGCCCGCAGGGCCGTGGACGGGCACCGTCTGGGCTTCCTCAGGCGTCTCCTAGCTCGCCCCTCAGGGTGGCCATGGGGACTGTGGGCGACTGGGGACCGCGGGGCAAGTGGAGTCCGGGAGCCGGGCGGGCGCAGAGTTCCCAAGAACTCCCGAGCTGCAGGGCCAGGAGACCGACGAGAGCTGAGCCGGGTGTAGGCGGCTCGGGTGCGGTGTCAGCGGCTCCGGGGCGCGGAGTGCGGCGGGGGCCAGAGAGCGCGGACAGCCCCTGTGGCCGCGGCTCTCATTGGACGGGGCGGGGCGGGGCCGGGGACACGCGCGGCCTTCAGCGGGGCTCCGCCCGCGCCAGCCGGGGTGCTCGGCGGCGCCCTAGGTGTGGCGGCCGCCTCCTCCGCTCGGCTTTACCGAGCGCCACCGCGCCGCGCCCTCACCTGCTCGGGCCACCCGCGACGGGGCTCTTCTCCGTTTGCAGCCCCCTGTCTCTACCGACGCCACGCCACGCCACCGGGTCCTAGCGCCCTTCACTCAGCAACGCGGACCGCTGGCTTTGGTGGCAAGGCGCACCCAGTGTGCGGGGTGGGGTGGGGAGGGGTGGCGTGGGGGGGTACGAACACCCGCCCCCCCACCCCCCCGCGCGCGTCGCCCCTTAACCTACGGTGAAACGGGAGCTAAGCGCAGAAGATGCTTTTTTTCTCCGGTCCTTTTATCCTTGCGCTTCTGGGAAATTAGTAGACACCCGGCCCGCAGGAGTTGCCGGACAGACAGTGGGACGCCCTTGGCCACGCTGCCTTCAGGGGCGCCGTGGACAGTGGGCCTCGGGCCGGAGACTGTCTCATCAAGGGCTCATCGCCCCGGCTTCTCCTACCCACTACACCAACACCATCCTTTCGTCCCGCACGTCGTTGAGACCCAGCGCCTCTCCACCTAGGTGCTTTCCCCAGGTCAGGCTCTTTCGGCTGCCCTAGAGACACACCTGCCGGCGGCGGGATGCAGCGGCCGGTGCCCTGACGGCCGGCCGGCCGGGGCTCGGCCGAGCTCGGTCTCTCCCAGTATCTCCGTCCCCCACCCCCTCGGGCGGAGCTGCGACTAGGAAAGAATCAGAAACAGCTGGGCGGCTTTCCCGCACCAGAGGCCGGGGTGGGGGTCCTGCGGAGAGAGTGGAAGCCCTGGTGCCTGGTCTCCCCCCCCCTCCCTTTCCACCCTTCCTCCTCTCCACTGCTCGCTGGTCCTCCCTCAGTCCCGAAGAGCCCTGGGGTGGGTGTGGGAAATTGGGAAGAAGTGGAGAGGTGTTGTGGGCTGAAAGTGATTTCTTGCTCCCTTTCTATTACCCCCCCTGGGTATTGCCTCACAACGGGCTCTCACTCCCCTGGGTGGGAAGAAGCCCCGTGGGGCAGAAAACATAAAAATTCTTCAAAGCCCTGAGTCTTTCAACCGAAGACTTCCTCTGGGGTCTGGCCTAACGCCTTCAGCCTCAGTTTCTCCTGCCTAGCCTTTCCTGTTTCCAGGTGTCTCTCATGCCTCTCCTCATGATTTTATCTAAACTATAAAGTTCTGATGTAAACATCATGCTGGTGACTGCCCACCCACCCAAACTCACTGTCAGGCCTTGTTTGATTGGGGGTGTTAGAGGCCAGAGCGTGAAGGACAGCGCACAGCTGGCAGCAGACATCTCAGAGACAGAGAAGAGAGAAAAGTTCAGAGGGCATTTGCCCTCTCTCCCCACAACTCAGTCCTTTGCCTGCATTTTTTGTGGTAAGAGGCCAAGTATATGCATCAATTCCACAAACATTATTTTCTTTCATCTGCCAGGGTTGGGCTAGGCTTGGAGAACACACACGCGCGCGCGCGCGCGCGCACACACACACACACACACACACACACACGAATACACACATCAAAAAAGCATTTCTGCCTTCATGGAGCTTACATTTTATTGAGCAAGATAGATAATAAACATTAGAAATGAGACATATGGAATGTTAAAGAGGTAAGTGCAGAGGCAGGGGGAAAGGGCCTCATCGTAGCGATAGTGAAGAGAGGGAGCGAGGAGTCCGTGGACACCCCCAGACAGGAGTGGGCTGCTGTACCGGGCCATCAAAGGGGTCCGCCAAATGGAGCAGAGTGCCCTAGAGAGGAAGAGCAGAGTTCTGATAAGTAAATGGAGGTGATCTAAGGTGGGGAGGAGAGAATACCCATCACCATTGGGCTGTGTGGGTGTAAGTGAGGCTGGGCTGCCTGTGGATGGGAAAGGGAAAGGGTGAATTCAGAGAGCATGTAGAGCCAGCAGCTGGCCATGTCCTACCCCTTCCCTTCTCTCGGTCCTGAGGCCTGGTAGGCTCCCGTTAGCCTACTGTATCTTTAGTACTGACTCTAAGGCCAGTTTCCCTGTGAGGGGCAGGTAAGGGACTGTGAGTCTAGGCTCTTTCCTGGCTGGAGTCCTTTCCTTGGACCATGCTTACCTCCTCCCAGCCCAGTTCCACTCCTTTGCAGGGCCTAAGTCTTCCAGCTTGGATGCCTCTCCCAGACTCCCCTGTGTGTTTAGAGCTGGGTGTGACTCTGGCCCTGTGTTTATTTGTACGTATGAGCCCGGGGTTGTGGGATAGGAGATGATCACATCTAACTTTGGGTGGACTCACCCACATGGGCCCCAGATTCGCTTCTGAGGCCCCTTCTTTGGCTTCAGCTATCATCTTAGCTGAGTGGGACCAAGTCTTGGCACGACACAGATGCTCAGCTATTAAAGTATATTTCTGATATGAGCCCCCACCCCCAAAACATCAGCAGCTCCAAGGAGAAGGGAGGGGACTGAGGAGACAAGACTCCTCACAGCTTACAGGCCACCCTCTGCTCTGGAGTAGGAAACCCAGCTTGTTCCCTCCACTCCTTCCTCCTTCTCCCCCTCTACCAGACTCAGTCCCCAGCTCCCCAGGCTGCAGGAGCCAGCTGACGGCAAGAGCACTCAACCACTTAACTAGAGAACAAATACGGAGCCAGAGAAGAGGTTTTCTGGGATCTGCCACTTTGGAGCTTCAAATCTCAAAATAAACTTCCAGCCTCAAGGTCCTAGACACTAGTGGAGAGCTCAGCTCCTCACGCAAGGGCCTGTTACGGGCTTCTAGAAAGAGGGTCAAGGCTGCAGGCTGAGCCTTGCTCCTCTAGCTTATCCCCTATCCCCCACCCCTGGGAGCCCACAGGAGAAGTCTCTGATTTGAGAGTCAGACACTGGTCTGGGGGGCCCTGCATGGTGTCAAGTCAAACTTGATAAGTACTTGCTCTGTGTCTACCCCTGATGAGGGCATCCTAAAGTATACAGAAGGAGGCGAAGGCCTTAGGTGGTATCCTAGCTCTGTTTGGGTTCAAGGCTGCATGCTGCAGATATAATGAACAATAGTGCTAGCAGAGACCCAAGGAATTCCAGGCTGCCCCCCTCCCACCCCATCCCTTAGCACACACAATGCCGAATTCCTTGGGACCTTCTGCAGACAGCTTCCAAGTCATCTCTCCCCAGCAGTGGCACTCTAGCCTCCTGTCCTTTTCAAAATGAGTATCTCAAGAGGAGATTTCACTCTCAGCTTTGATAGCTCACTTCACGCTCTGATCTCTACTGAGGCCACTTAGGGTTAAGATTCCCCCCTTTACTTTGTGCTAAGCTTTGTGAGGCTGAATGGCTTTACTTCGTTGCTGGCCTTTGGATGGGAGCAGAGATGAGCTAAGGGGAGTTGGGTGTGGGTGAACAGCTCTGATTCCACCCCTGGCTTATCTTCCAGAAAGCCCCCTTTCCCTGGGCCCTGGTTGGCGATGACCTTCTCTTTCCTTGGTGGGTGGGAGGTGGTGTGGATGGTAATGAGCAGAGAGAGAAAGGCCAAGAAGGGGCTGAGGGGTGGGCTGGATGAAAGTCAAGGAATTCCTGAGCTTGCTACTTACACAAGGGGCCCCCAGATGCCTTTCCTGAGATTTCTTTGCAGACTAAGGCAGGTCTCATTTGAATTGAAGCCAGGTTCAGAGCAGCCCCAGTGCAGCACCTCCTGCCTTGCTAACCACTGCACCCTGCAGGTATGGGGACACTGAGCAGAACCGGAACCCGGGGACTTTAAAGGGGGATGCTGTGGGAGCTAGGCTTATTCCACAGCCGCGCTGGCCTCTGTTTGGTATTTATGAGCTTCCAGGCAAGACATGGAACGTGTCTCAAAGGCCAGAGGCTAGGCCAGTCAGGCTTTGGGGGGCCATGGGAGGAAGGAACACCGAGGCCCAAATCAGGGGCCTGGGTGGCACAGCATCCCTATCCTCCCAGTTAGAAAGTGGCTAACCAGAGCAAACATGCCCCCAGAAGACCAAGAAGGGAGGGAATTAAGGGAGAAGGGACAGAGGAAAGGAGGACAAGGGAAACGGAACCTTGGGGGTAGGCTGGGTGGTCTGGAGTCTCTTAGCACTTGAGACTGGAGCCAGGCAGTGGGCGGGCTGAGGGCCATCCTGGGCAGGTGGCCCAGGTTCTGTGAGAGAGAGTGGATGTGCGACTGGGATCCTGGGTGGTCACTGACCAGCCTCTCCTCAGAGGAAGTCCCATTTTGCTTTCAACCTCTTTCCCGAAGTGCCTGGATCACTCCCGGAAGCTAGGCACCAAGCTCGCTCTCTTGCTCTCTGCCTGCCCTGGGTCCCAGAGGGATCTGGATGTTCGATTTGCTCTCAGTGAGCTAAAATCTGCAGTGACTGTCACCTCCTCACATCGCCTCCCTCAGTTCTCATGCTGTCCCCCATCTCTTTTCTAGGGTGCTGCGCTCTTGGGCCTGCATTTCTTGGTCCAGTCCTATTCCCCCACTCCCGCCCCCTGGAGGTCTGTCTCCCTGTCTTCTTTGGCCTGTCTTTTCTTCCTTTTTCTCTTCTTTCCTCCTCCTCCTCCTCCTCCTCCTCCTCCTCCTCCTCCTCCTCCTCCCCATCCTCTTCCTTGATTTCTTGAGACAGGGTTTCTCTGTGTGACGGTCCTGGCTGTCCTAGAACTTGCTCTGTAGACCAGGCTGGCCTTGAACTCACGGAGATCCACCTGCCTCTGCCTCCCGAGTGCTGGGACTAAAGGTGTGCACCACCATGCCTGGTGTGCCTGTCTTTTCTTTCTGTTCACGTACTTGTCTGTCTCTCTTTCTTGACCTGTCACTTGACTATCTCTGGGTTGCCCTCTGTCTGCTGTCTCCCCCCCACACCCTGTGGGGTGTGTGTGTGTGTGTGTGTGTGTGTGTGTGTGTGTGTGTGTGTGCACTTGAGCACACATACAACTGTGGGCCTTGTCTTTCTCTTTTTTCTCTCTCTCTTCCTCATCTGTTTCTCCATGTCTTTTAAAAACCAAACAATCACAATCAGCCAGGCGGTGGTGGCGCACGCCTTTAATCCCAGCACTCAGGAGGCAGAGGCAGATGGATCTCTGTGAGTTCAAGACCAGCCTGGTCTACAAAGTGAGTTCCAGGAAAGGCGCAAAGCTACACAGAGAAACCCTGTCTCAAAAAACAAAAACAAAACAAAAAAAAAATAAAAACCAAACAATCAAACAAACAAACAAACAAACAAAACTCTGGCTTTCTAAATCCCTCTGGGTACCTACCTACCTGCCTCTGTACGTTCTCTGACTTTGTTTCTCTTTCGTCTACCCTCTGTTCCTCTTCAGCTCCTGCAATACAGGGGCCAGAAAAGATCAAAGACCTCTTTCTCCTTTCAACACAGTAGGTTGTGCACTAAGACTGCAGCCGCTTTCCCACTCGGGGCCTCAGTTTCCCCACTGCTGGGACAAGGAGAGTGGACGGAGACCTAGTTTCTTCTGTGGAGCGTCCTCTGTCTTCATCTCTTCTTTCTTGTGGCATACCCCATCCTGTTATGTCCCAAGGCCTCTGCCTCTCTGCTTCCTAAATTTGACTCTGAAGCCTGGACTCTAGTGTTTTAGGGACACCAGTGGGGAAAGGTCTCTGCTATTGTCAGGCAGCAAGGCCTTCGAAGGAAGACTCTTCACTTCTCCACTCCCTTAAACACCCGTGTAGACAGGGTCCCTTTCTGGGGCCATGTCTGGGATACAAACCAGATTAGGTCATCTCTCTAATCCTCTTTGTGCTGGGGCCTCTGCCAGGCAGGGACACCCACAGCGCAGTGTGTGTGTGTGTGTGTGTGTGTGTGTGTGTGTGTGTGTGTGTGTGTGTGTGTATGTGTGTGTGTGTGTGTGTGTGTGTGTGTGTATGTGTGTGTGTGTGTGTAAATTCTTGGAGAGGCAGGACACACAAAGTTCTCTCCTCTAGTACCCTCTCCTGCCTGTAAAGTTCAAATCGGCAACCCTCCCTGTGTGAAAAACGTCTGAGGCTTGAGCCAAGCTAGCCTTCCACCTCCATTCCAGTATCTGTTGTAGCCTCTCAAGGACTGAACTATGCATTTCAGTCATCCCCCTGTTCCTGAACAGCCCAGAATCCACCCCTCTTTATAACGCATATCCCACGGCCTAATTGTGTGCTTTCTGCAGTCATCTTAGAAGGACTTGTCAATTCCTTCTTGAGAAGCCCCGAACTTCCAGAAGGACATAGGGAACGTGGGGGAGGAGGAGGGGGAAATCAGGCTGGCCTTCAGCTTTGCACTCCAAATTGGAAGCCTCCAGCCTGTCCCTGGAGTTTCCTTGGAGAGATCTCTCTGAGCTGATAAGATCAAAGCATTCCCTCTGCCAAATCATTACCTTATTTTCGAGGCAATTACAGAACTTATTGTATCAATTAGCCAGGCCTCCAGCTGCAGCTTTTTCTCGCTGGCTTTTGGTGCGCTGGCAAAGGGGTCTGCCCAGCCCAGAAAGCCGCGACTGAGCGACAGAAGGGCGGGGTCTGGGCCGGGAGCGTCCCGCTGCTGTCGGCCGGGATGGGCGGCGGAGGGCAGGAGGGCGCAGAGGGGTGTGGAGCCCCCCGACCACTCTGGCCGCGATCGCTCCGTGCCGGGCGCCACACCGCGCGGACGTGGCCCAGAGAGACGCTACAGACCCTGGGGTGGGGAAGGCCGCCGGGGCAGGGGCTAGAAGGGGACAAGGCTGAGCGAGCACCGACGCCCAGCCCTCAGCGACGTGCGCCAGGCTGGACTGCACCCCGTGGGCAGGGCGCCCCGCCGTGGTGGTTTCTGGAAGGACAAGGAGGACTGAACTTGGGGGATCCCTGGGATTCAGATAGGGGTGGACGTGGAAAAAGAAGAGAGTGTGGTGCTCAGGGATTCCGCCAGGACGCACCTGGAGCCAGATTGGGTAAGGGATCTCTGGAGGTTCTCGGATTTTTTGATCTTAGAAACACAAATATTACGAGGTTCCCCCAAAGAGCGTTTGTTTATGTGGGTTATATTCACCCATGTTAGATTAGCACGAACACTGGGACCAACTGATAAAGTTCCTCATGGATGAGGCTAGACCACGAGCAACAAAATAAAAACAGTTCTGGATAGTAAGCCAAAGAATAAAACAAATATCCTTGGGTCTGAACTAATATAAATAAACAACCGAACAAATAAATAAATCAACGGGGAAAGGACAGATCTCCCATTTAGAAAGACTTCCAAATAACTTATGTAGACATTGCACCTTCAACGACAGGGAGTATAATGCTAATCCTTAATTCTGGGCTGTGCATTCTGACATCTTTCCATAAATACAATACAGCTATGAATGTGGCGGGGGAAGGGGATTTTACCGTGAAGGAAACTTAACAAATACTTCAGCGGAGTATCAGGCTCAACATGACTAGTGTCAGGGCGATAGTTTTTGCCCAGTGACAAAAATAACACTTGTCACTACAGAGCAACAGGACCACATTTGTTGCTGGAAGATGGTAAAACGGCCCAGTGACTTGGGGAGGCAGTTTAGAAACCTCACAGGAAACGTTATATAGTCCTACTAGGCAATCAAGCAATTGCACTCATTGGGATGTACACACACACACACACACACACACACCAAACAAACAAACAACTCTGCACACAGATGTTGATAGCCCCTCTCTCAGTAACTGACAAGACTGGGAAGCAACTAACATGCGCTTCAGAGATGAATGGATACATGAGCTGTGCATGTGGAGCATGGGATGTTTTTTAGTGATAAAAGAAAATGAGCTATGAACAGACATGGAGGAGCCTCCAATGTATATTACTAACAGAAAGAAATGGATCAGAAGGGTTGTGATTCCAACTGTGCATTTCTGGCAAAAAACAAAACTACAGAAACGATAGTGTCAGGATTTCCTCCTCTGTGGCCTCTTCCATAATCCTAGTGTCATGAGAAATCATGAGAAAAATATCAGACAAATTCCATTCCAGGATTTTTTTTTTTTTGAGACAGGTTCTTGTGCGGTCCCGGCTGGCCTTGAATTCTCCACCCTTCTACCTCAGCCTCCCACGTGCTAGGGTTATTGGTGTGCAGCATTACACCCTGCTGACAACACATTCTCTTCTGCTTCTTTTTGTAATATGCTGGGGATAGTAATTCCAGGTTGGAGCCTGGAAAAGAATGAGGACCTTAGGGGAAAATAGAGGAAATCTGTTTATGAAAACATTCTTTTTGATTTCTTTGAAATTAGCAAGTTGGTAAGATTGATCAGCAGGTAAAGGTGTCTGCCACCAACCCATATGGTAGAAGGAGAGAACTGACTCTCAAAAGTTGTTCTTTGACTGCCACATGCATACCATGGTACAGGTGCAACACACACACACACACACACACACACACACACACACACACACACACACACACGATGGATAGACAGATTAGACAGATAGATTAATAGATAGATAGATAGATAGATAGATAGATAGATAGATAGATAGATAGATAGTGATAACAAAAGTAACAATAATAAACCTGCCTTGAAGCTGGTGTGTGGTGTACGCCTTCAATTCCAGCACTCTGGAGGCAGAGACAAGTGGAGTATTGTGAGTTCAAGGCCAGTCTGGTCTACATAGTGAGTTCCAGGACAGCCAGGGTATTGCAAAGAGACCCTGTCTCAAAAGAACAAAAAAATAAAAAAGAACAAACCTGTTTTGATGTTGATTTCCTATAATCCTAGCACTGGAGAGGTAGAGGTGGGAGGGTCAGGTATTCAAAGTCATCTTCAGCTACACAGTGATTTCAAGTCCAGCCTGGGTTATATGACACCCTGTACCAAAAAAAAAAAAAAAAAAATTAGCAACGATAAACTCATTAATATTAATGTCCTATTGTTATAGAAAATAAATATAATTTCCAAAACCAGAGTAAGTTATCACTACTCATTTTTGTAATTGCTATAATTTCCCAGTTATCCAAATACCATAATTTACTATTCTATTGATGAATGTCTAGGTTTACCATTGATATTGCATAATATGTCTTTGGAGAAATAATTTAATGGATTTCTAGAAATGATTCTGTTAGGTCCAAGGGCATGTATATCCTAAATTTTGGTACCTATTACAAAAAGATTCCCTGAAATGATCTTTTCATTAGCCTATATGCCCATCACTTCTTGAATAGACAATGAAAATTACCCATTCAGCTGTTACAGGCCGTTTTCAGGGTCACAGCACATATATAAATATTAGAAGCTAGGATCAAAAGAAGAAGGAGAAGGAGGAGGAGGGGGGAGAGGAGGAGGAGGAGAGGGAGGAGGAGGAGGAGGAGGAGAAGAAGAAGAGAAGGAGGAAGAAGAGGAGAAGAAGGAGAGGGAGGAGGAGGGGGAGAAGAGGAGAAGAGAAGGAGGAGGAGGAGGAGGAGGAGGAGGAGGAGGAGGAGGAGGAGGAGGAGGAGCAGCAGCAGCAGCTCGGATCAACATACTAGAGAGGATGGGAGACCCTTGTCTTTCCGAGCCCGGGGAAGCTCACCTAACATAGCATCTCCTGTTCCACCCATTTCCCTGAAGCTTTCAGTTTTCTTTACTGCAGATGTTGATGGAGATAATAAGACAATCACGAAAAATTCATACAGGTAGTGACCTTAAAATGAAGACCTGCTTTCAACTACGTCCCGCCCCCCCAGAAAAATCAAACGGAATCTTTTCCTTGTTTTTTGAAAAATAAATAAATAAATAAAACAAGAAAAAGAAAGGAAGTTCATTTATTCATTTTGTTTCTTGATAGCAAAACCGAACGTCAAGGAAGCTTCTGTCCACAGCCAGAGTCTGTGTGTATTGGTTGGTGGTCCTGTCCCCTGTGGTCGGGCTCTGCATCAGTTTTACAGTGTAAATACTTGTACTGCCTTAATGATAAGGAGGCACTTAGTGGACTCCTTAAAGTTCCATTTGCTAATGATTAATGCGCTGTTTGGGCTGGCCACTCTTCCATGCACGGAGCTTGATAATTAAGCACAGTCAGGCATCTGTATTAAAGTATTTAAAAATGGGAAAAAGTTGAAGAGTATTCGGATGGGGTCAGCTTGTTGGTATAAATCGTCAATAGCCACTTTCCTGAAAACAAACGTATTTAAAATGTGCTTCCCTCAGGATGGTGTGCAGAAAAAGGAGGGAAGGATAAACCAGTATGTGGGTTTAGTGCTGCGTGCATTGGACCACGGTGAAAGGACTGTCGGGCTGTCATTAGTCACACACGGTTTTAGTAAGAAGTTTCCATCAAGGGAGCATCTGCAGACTCTGGTTTTGACGCTTTTTCAAACCATCACTCAGGGTTGGCAGAACAGGCTGTGGCTGTGGACTTGAGCAGAACCGTCAACGCTGCTGCACAAGAAATTACATCCATTCCGAGTTGTAAATGCTAATCTTTCCCCCCAATAAAAAGACCATTAACTTAAAAAAAAAAAAAGCATCATGGTTTGAACCATTGAGGGCTGCCACTGCAGAGCTTGGGACTGCCACAGCCTCTTGCCAGGCTGACGCTGTAGTGGCAGGCACTTCCGAGTCTAATAAACCACAAGGACCACTGGCTTGTGGAAAGGGAGGAGGAAAGACTCAAGATCCAAGAGGTCTCTACACCCACTGGAAGGCAGAACAGATAAATCTCTTTCATTTTTTCAAGGCCACATTTTATCTATTCCATCTTGGTACTGGGATCAAACCCAGAGCCTTCAACATGCTAGACAAGCACTCTACTATTGATACACCCTCAACCCTACACTATTAGTATTTTTCTTTTTTTCCTTTTTTTTTTTTTTTTGGTTTTTTGAGACACGGCTCTGGCTGTCCTGGAACTCACTCTGTAGATCAGGCTGACCTGGAACTCACAGAGATCCACCTGCCTCTGTCTCCCAAGTGCAGAGATTAAAGGTGTGTACCACCACCCAGCTGGTTTTTAATTTTTAAAAAATTATTTTTGTTCTAACTTACATGTATGTGGGTGTGTGTGCCCATGAAGACCCTAAGAGGACCTCAGATCCCTGAGAGGACAGCTGTGAGCTGATGATGGACGTGGGTGCTAGGAACTGAACTCTGGTTCGTGCTAGGAACTGAACTCTGGTTCTCTGGGAGAGCAGTATGTGCCGTTAACCAGTGGGCTATCTTCTCTCCAGCCCCAAGTTTTTAATTTTTATTTATTATTTTATGTGTATGAGTGTTTTGTTTACATGCACGGAAGTGTGGGTACCATGTGTGTGTGTGTGCCCATGGAGGACAGAGGAGGACATTGGATTCCCTAGAACTAGAGACAGTTGTGAGCTGCCATGTGGGTTCTGGGAATCAAACCTAGGTCTTCTGGAAGAGTGGTATATGCTTTTAACCACTGAGCCATCTCTCCAGGCCCCCCAAGGACAACTTGCAGGAGTGGGTGTTCTCTTTTTACCATGTAGATCCAAGGATTGAACTCAGATTGTCAGGCGTAGCTGCAGGCTGCCTTTACCTACTGCACCATCTACTAGCCCAACTACTGGCTTTATATGATGGTTTTTGTACCCAATCCTCAGCCTAACAGGCAATATGGAAAGCATCATAATTCCTCATTTAAAAATACAAGACAGAGGTGGTGGCATGCCTTTAATTCCAGCAGCCAGGTATAGATGGATTTTTCTTTGGGCCACCAGCTAACAACAAAACAAAACACGGAGGCTTATTGTTAATTATGAAAGCTCGGCCCATAGCTTAGGCTTGTCTCACGAGCTCTTATAACTTAAACTAACCCATTTCTATTCATCTACATGTTGCCGTGTACCTCTCCTCCTGAATGTCTTGTTCCCTCTGCGTTTGGCTGGCGACTCCCAGAGCTCTCTCTGTCCAGAAGTCCCTGGTATACCTCCTGCCTAGCTATTGTCCATTTAGTTTTTTATTAAAACAATCGCAGTGACATATCTTCATACAGTGTAATCAAATCTCACTCAAACCTTTGGGAAGCAGATCTCTGTGAATTCAAGCCAGCCTGGTCTACAGAGCGAGTTCCAGGACAGCCAAGGCTACACAAAGAAACCCTGTCTCAGCTAGAGAGATGGCTCAGGTGTTAAGAGCACTGGTGGCTCTTCCAGAGGTCCTGAGTTCAATTCCCAGCAACCACATGGTGGCTCCCAACCATCTATAATGGGATCTAATGCCCTCTTCTGGTGTGTAGGCATACATACAGACAGAGCATTCATACATTAATTTTATATATATGTATATATATATATATATAATATATGTATGTATTTCACACTTAAAAAAAGGAAAGAAACCTTGTCTAGAAAAACCAAGTAAATAAATAAATTAATAAATAGCATGACAGAAGAGAAGAATGAATTAAAAAAAACCACGACAGAGGCAATACTAACAAACACAGCACGTTTACCAACACAAAACAGGCACGTAGACCACTGTAATGGAATCCAGAACCAAGACCTGGACCATTTGATTTGTCTTTGCAGTTACCAACGACAGCTGAAGAAGTCTTTGACAAAAGGGACAGTAAGAAAAGTGGACAACCACTTGTCAAAGTCAACACTGGATCTCTGTCTCACGCTGTAAAATCAACTAAGAGTGGATCAAAGGCATTAACATAAAACACGAAGCTTTGAAACTGGTAGAGGAAAGTGCAGAGAGGCACTTCAAGATCTAGACAGTGACTCTGAACGCCACACCGATAGATCAGGGAGTCAGAGCAAAGGCTGACTCACAGAGCTGTGTCAGATTAAAAAGCCTCAGAAAGCACAGAAGAACAAACAACCTCTAGAGTGAAGAGAAGCCTGCAGGATGGGAAAGAATCTGCTAAAGATTTAGTCCACAGTGGATCAGTACCACTGTGGGTTAGGGAGATGCTGAGCCGGTAAAAGCCCTGATGACCTAAGTTTGATCTCTTGAACCTACAGTGGAGGAAAAGAACTCATCCTCGAAGGTGTCTCTGATCTCCACATGTGCACCATGACGGTTATACACCTGCTTTCATGTGTACACACACACACACACACACACACACACACACGCATGCATGCATGTGGATGCACACACATAATAAATAAATAAAACAAGTTGTTTTTTTAAAATCAAGCATATATCCAGGTGTTTGTGGTGCATGCCTTTAATCCCAGCACTTGGGGGGCAGAAACAGGAGGGTCCCTGAGTTTAGGGCCAGCCTGATCTAAAGAGTGAGTTCTAGGACAGCCAGGGCCACACAGAGAAACCCTGCCTCATAAAACCAAAAACAAATGAACAAACAAACAAACAAAGCACTTATAAAGAACTCAGAAAAGTTAAACAACAAAAGAGCAAATCACCCAGTCAATAAGAGGGCAAATAAATCAGACAGTTCTCCAGAGAAGTACAAATGGCCAGTAAGCACATGAAAATACTTTCAATATTCGGAGCCATCTGGAAAATACAAAACAAAACTAATATAGGATGCGGCTGTAGCTCGGCTTAGTGTTTGCCTAGTGTGTGCCAGCCTTGGGTTCAATCCCCAGCACTGTAAAAGGCAACAACAACAACAAAAGAATCCATTCCCCACTCCTAAACCCTATATTGATATTTCATCCTACCCTAGTCCGAATGGTTGTCGGACCAAATACAAAGAACAAGGGCTGGAGAGACAGCTCAGTGGTCAGGGCACCGGCTGCTTTTGCAGAGGACTGGGTTCAGTTCCCATCACCCGCATAGCAGCTCACAACTGCCTGTATCTCCAGCCAGGATGCAAGGTGTGTGTGAGGGGTGAGGAGTCCCATCACTGCTGGTGAGATGTCAATCAGGCCAGCCACAATACCAATGATCATGGAGGT